CAATAGAGTGATTCTTTTAATCTTAATATTTTCATGGTAAAGTTAATTACTTTCACCTCCGAAAGTACATCTCAAACTGTGAACAAATTATTCATTCAGAATGTGAAATTATTTTATTTCTGCTGCAAAAAAATTGTAAATTTGAACCTTTTGTAAAATTTTCCAATAGCAAAAAGTCATAATTGATGCTGGAATGAGGTACTGGCATACAAGTAAGACAGAACCATAAAATAATTTAACCTTATTATCGGCTGGCCAATTATATTCACCACAAAACTGTAAAAAGTAAAATAAAGATAATTCATTACAAAAATTGCAATTTTACTTCCTCACGCAATAAAATGCAATAAAATTTACAAATTTTATGTTTTTTAGAAACTTTTTAACGTTAAAAAGTTAAAATTTGCTGGATAAAATTCATAAATCCATTTTTTCTAAAAATTACTTTAAGAAAAAAATTGTATCTTACGAATTTTTGGCATCTTATGATTTTTTTATATCTTACAAATTTATAACATAAATTTTTTGTTTTTTTTTGTTTTTTACGTAATTTTTTATTTTTAAAATCCATATAATTTTCAATGACGAAATATTTCAAAAATTGAAAATTTTTGTAACACTTTTTTACTCATTCAAAACAATATTTTAAAAAAATTTTTTCAAAAAAATCACAAAAATATAAAACAAATTTGTTTACATTATAAATTATAATAAATTATTTTTAGGCTAACTTTGTCCATTCTATAATCAACCAATGCTATTAAGTGAAGCTAAAATCATATTTTATAAAAATTATAATAAATATTATTTGAAAATTATAAGCGATAAGTTGAAATGGTTTGTTTCAAGCTTGCACATAAATAGTAAATTATAAATGAGAGCGAACACTAACTGAAAGTTTTTGTGGACAAAACAAAATGTTTTTATATTAAATTTTGTATTTTTTCAGTTACTCGCATTCGCTAAGAAACAAATAAATTATTAATTCGTTAGGTTATGCTAATTTATGAAAATTGCACAAGAGAGAATCAAAATTCATAAATATATTTTTCACTGCGAAATTAATTAAAAAGCAATAAAAATTCATATGCCAATATTCATTTTTAGCTTTGTTGGCATAAATTTTTGATTTAGACAAATAAAAAAGATTAATACTGTAAATAAATGAATTACAAAATTCTGATAAATTAAAAATTCATTTACTGAATAACTTTATAAATAAATTAATTAATTAATTTGATAATTAATTTGCATAAATTATATCTATCAATGCGTGTATTTTAGAATATTTCGCGTTACTGAGGTTCTTGTTTGAAATAAAAATTATGTAAATGAACGACAAAAATAAAAATTTATTTTTAATGTCTCAATTTGTTTTTGTTTCTATATTTTTGTCTCATAATTTACAGAAATCAAATATGACATACTTGTAAATCTACTTTAATTACTGATAAATTTGCGAATTGATTAACAATTAAGTCAGTACTTAACATCTTGCAGTACCAGTTTTATGTAATTTTCTTCAATAAATCACGTTTGTAAAAAGCTTAGTATGTTATGACATGTTAATTTATAATTTAATCAGAACGTGGTAAATAAGCTTTCAATCAATATGTTACGTGAAAAACCTACTATACCACGTTAACAATTCGATAATTTTAACAAATCTTTTTAAAGTTTAATTTGAAATAGATTTTGTAAATAATATGAGCTTAAATACACTTACGTATCCGCAAAGAGTCGTGTTGTCAAGAGCTAAAGGTTGTAAACGCTGTGTGATAAAAAGCGGTGAAGAAACAGTTGCAGAAGTAAGCCAAGATATGGCCATTAAGGAATGCGCACGACGTATAGTCCACGGTTCACGTGTAGACTTCACGATATTACGATAACGGTCCACAGCAATAAAACACAAGCAATAACTTGAAATTAAGACTGAAATTTACTCCGATGATAAAGCATGCGTCAAGTTTATCACTTAACTTTAAGTTCGCATTATTTGAAGTCGTTATATTTATCACTGAAATTAGTAACTTATATAATTGAGAGTTTCAGCACAAACTGTTTTTTAACTGATATTTTATTCGAACTTATTTCAAATTGTCAATTTTAATTATTCGTCAAATTTATCAATGTTTAATTTTAAGTATTCTTCATAAAATTTTTTTCAAAAACATTTTAGAATATGGATTTTCTACTTTCATATTTTTCAATTTATCAAATTATCTTAATTATAATAAGTTTTTAGCTTTATCAATTAATACTAATACTTCTAACATCAATTCTACCATCAAAATGATTGTATACTATCTAGTTTGGACTATTTCCAGTATTAAGCACAAAAAATGAAAGAAAAGATGCATAAAAGACTCATAACCTAATATTGCCACCTAAATATCTAAAAATACTAAATTTAAAATCTAATTATATACCTGAAATCCCTTGACATAAGGGAACTAATTTGCATAATAACGACCCAAACAACCAACGTTTTACAAATGCTAATACAGGTGTGATTGGAAGAGCTGTGATACATAATAACTGTAATTAATCTCTAATGACCGTAATATTTACAGTAATTAAAAAATAAAGCAATAATTTTGCCGGAATAAATTATCAAAAATCTTGATTTGTATTTCAAACTGATAAAAATGTATTTACTATATAATATTTTTATTACATTGGTAAATTTCGCTGAATTAATGTAAGTTATGAATATGAAAAATTGTTTGATTCATAATCAGTAATTATTTAAAATTTGTAATGAACGTTTATTTTGCATAATACTGCTAAACAGATGTCTATGCATTTTTTGACCCTATACTTATCAACTTTACTTTTGTAATAAACGGCCAAGTAATATTTATTTTTAAAATCTGAACTTTGACCTCAATGAATATTATTCTAATTTTTTGGTGACAGCCTTTTTTTGGTAATTTGGCTATGACAAATTAAGCATATGTTTAAGAATAGATGAAACAGAATGATATTTATATAAAGTTGGATCATCTCAAGCATCAATAATTACTTTAAGATTAATCTGGATAAAATATTATTATTGTATACTTATACTATCCCCATATGATCTTGATAAGTTTACTAAAATTACCAGAATTTTATGCTTGAAAGTTTCAAAATAAAAATGTAAGCACTGTTAGCAAGCATCTGTCAACATTGAACACTCACTTATTCAATTTGTCTCGAGGGAAATCATTATTATTGCAGAAGTATTCTTATCTTTAGTCAAGTCTTATTATCATTTTGACTTATGACTTTTGCATAAGAATAAATCCACAGGGATGAAAAGCAAAATATGAACTATTTTGGTTACAGATTAGTCATTACAACTATTATTTTTATTTTTTATGCTTTTAAAAATTCTTTTTTATTTAACAATACTTAACTTTGAAAATGTTAAAAGTAACTAATACTAACTATAAATTCATAATTTATAAGTTCGCGCGAAAATTATATGCTCATATTGTGTGTATAAATTTAAAAAGCACACAAAGACTAAAGATTTATATAATCTTTCAAAAATAAAAAACCATTATTTTTTAATTTAGCTTTTTGATAGCAGTAATTATACATCTTATATTAACGCCGTTACTTTATAATAGGCACTTTTCAGTCTGCATATTGACAGCTAATTGTTTTGATGATAATTGTTATTTTATCACTTTCATATCTCAGAATTTAAATAAAAGTGCGAAATATTTACTGGAATACTTACCGCTGTTGACATAATCAGCAGTATCTATCATTTCGGATTATCAAAATTTGATGATTGATGCAAAATTTAAAAAAATTAATAGATTTACATAAAAACAAACAATCAGATCAATTTTCAAAATTAAATTTAGTCTAAATCCGAATTAAATTGTCACTTAACTATTTATTGCAACGTACTAATTCAAAAATGTATTATTGGAACAAAAATTTAGAAAAGTTTGAAGTTTAACGGATAAAAGCTGAATCACATTTTCACGCATTTAATGGAGTACTTACTGACATCACTACAGCTTCTTACTTTTTCGATAGAAATTATTAACAAGAAATTGAATTTGTTTGTTGAGAAATGCAAAAAATCAAATCAGTTAAGTTAGTCAATTTAATTAAATTTTAACAACAAAGTAAAAAGTTTGAATCAGAATTTTCTTGTTGATATTTATAAAATTTATATTACCAATAACAATACTAATTGTTTTATCACCATTAACAACATTAATTGTTATATTGTTATTAACAATAATAATATCATTATTGCCACTATTATTGTATTCTATTGTTCAACATCAACAGTACTACCGAAAAGTCAAAAAAATGTTGCTTATTTTAATTTATATAGCATATCATGTTAATTTTTGAGAACATTCAGAAATTGGATTGGATTTGATATTTCTGGAATAAAAAATGCAAAAGACAGAAGTGTCCCTCGTGAGAGCCATTTTTTGAATAAGTTTCTAGAAATTGCTTGAATTATAAAATTTACAATGAGTTTTATAATTTATTAAGTGAAAATATGACAAATTTTCGGATAAAATTATTTTTTATTTTATGTATTTTTTATTTTTTTCATAGATTTCTTCTATAGTTTTTATTATTTGACTTCAGTTTCCGCCTTGTAATAGGCTTTTGCTTTTCCTTCAAATTATTGTTAAATTGAAAATATTTGTACAAATTGTAGTAAAATTATTTAAATTATCAAATAAGCTTTTTTTTTAAAAAAATTAAAAAAAGTTGAAAAGTTATTTGTCTTATTTCTTTACTAAAAATGTAAAATTATTTTAGGAAAAGGCTGAACTGAAATTACATTAATTTAAATTTTAGCAAATTGCTGCTTTTTCTAAAAAAATGGATAACTATAATTAAAGTTCAGAATGTAATATGAAGTCTAAGACTCGAGATAAAGTAATTGGAAAGTATGTTAAAATAGTAATTTATTACTGTACTAGTATTTTTTTAATTATTGTGTCTGATCTCGTATACTGCAAATGTTTGCATTTAATTAGCTATCCAAAATACTGTAAAATCGCATTTTTGTAGCTGATTCAGAATAAAAGCCGATTTTATTGAGTAACATTTTTGCAAATACAAATTTGCTTACATTTGCATATGGAACATTCAAATTGTATAATTTTGAGAAATTATACTTATTTGAGACGAATTAAAAATTAGTTCGCATTTACTAATAAAACTAGTTTGCTATCATTTTTGACTTTAACTTATCAATTTAACATAAAAGTACTCTTCTAAAAACTTAGTCATCAACATTACAAACTGTAGATAAATATCCAAGATATCAGTTCCATCAAAATTTGTCACAACCATTTTTGAATTACTGTAGCTATGCTATCTTTATCTAACATTGTTCACAAATTAGTATACCACTCTAAATTAAGTCTACTAAAACTTATACAATTATTGAAAGCAATTTAAGGTTATTTTTAGAAATGAATTCTAATAATTTTGTTATTTTCATATTCAAATTTTAATCGTTTGTTTAATAAATTGAAGTTTGTGTTAGAAACTTTTTGCATATTTTTCAACTATGAGTAAGTTTGATGTCAACAAAAGTTTTTTGATTACAACTTAAAATGACATTTATGCGAGAGTTTTTGCAGTGTTCTTTAAGGCTAAAAAGCAATTTACATTTATGGGAATCATATTGAAATTGCTTTTTTCAATTAAATTTTATATTGACTGGAACAAGTAAGTAAGAGGCTACTTGGATATTTGTGTTATTTATTCATCCATCTATTTATCGAGCTTATAAATGAATATCTCTCAGTACTGATAATAGAAATATCAGATTTCCAGTTGATTGGCTACTAAGTTTAAAAGTATATATTATTGCTATTTCCATCCATAGCAAAAAAAGAAAGCTTAAAATTGAAGAATTTAAAAATAATTTTTAAGAGATTATTAAATACAAAATGATGAAGTAAAAAATAACAATGTTTTCTGTTTTCATACTTGTCGATCAGAAATAATAATATAATCGTGTGAAAATCTTAACAAATGCCAAAAATGCTTTAATACAAAATAGTAAATATCTATCTTCGATTAAATAAAATTTCAAAAATTTTAAAAATTATATTAAAAAGCAACAACTACTCTTAATTAAAGGCTAATTAAAGTTTTTATTAAAATTGAACAAAATTTTTTGACACAAATATTATGCTTGAAAATTTTAATAGCCTTTTTACTTGAAAAAATAAAAAAGTATATATTTTGAGTAAAATATTAGGACTTTCAGTTTTCTTTCTTAATTTCAATTTATTTTTTCTAGGAAAATGAAAAAATTACCAACCAAATCGGAAATTGCTAAATTAATAAGAAATATATTTGGTACTGAAATTCGTTTTCGTTTTGCTAAACTTCCAATTAATAAACCATTGCCAATTAATCCAACGACAAATATTGTTGCATACAAAGTCGAGTAAAAAAGCTGAAATCAAAAATTGCTTTAATTAAAATTCAATTTAAAAAAGTTTCTCAAATGATCATTGATTAAGTAAGCAATTGCTTCAATTAATTACTTACTTCTATGATTTATTATAATTAATTGTTGCTATTAGCTTTTGAAACATTTTCTACAAGTTTTAGTATTAATTAAGTATTCAATTATAAGTACGGTTGTCATAAGAAAACTAATATCAATTTTACCAAGAAAAAAATGATAATAATTATTAAAAGCTCATGCATTCAAATAATAAAATACTTAAATTTCTTAGAATTAAATAAATTTGATTTTTTCAAACAATAAAAACAGATGTAAATATTGACAAATTTTTTCCTACAATCTATTAAAAAAGTTTTTATCAAAAATTATTCAAAAAATAAAAATTATCAAATATCGCCTGAAGAAAGTTTAATTTATTTTCAGCAAAATAATTAAAATCAAAAGAAATTTGAACAAATACAATCGTCTATTACTTATATTCTTTGCATATTAACAAGTGCTTAAGTAATAAAAATATTATTTGAAAATAAGAATTATATTTTACTTCAAACAATAATTTATGAGATTACTGCTAACAAATTAATGAACTTTATTAAAACTTATATACATTCTACATCGAAAACCAACAAACTTCAAAAAAGATTTCAGTTTTGTACTTATTTTCATTCTAAAATGTCAGTGACATTTACAAAATAATGAAACTATAAGATGACAAAACGTAATATAAATAATTAATTATATTTGTGCTGAATCAAAACCAAATTATAATTACTGTAGTTAAGATTTTTTTTTATTTCTAAAATCTTAGATTTTATTAATTTTTAGCTAAAATTTAAGCATTCGTTAAGCTTTTTCCAGTGAAGAAGTAGGTTTTAGATGATAATCCACACTTTTTTCTCAAAAAATGTTTTAGAAAAAATTCTTGATTCAATCTTTATTTTTTCCCACCAATTAGTATTAAATAATCTACCTTTTTGAAGTAATGGAAACAAAAATTCAAT